GATATATCTAAAAATTTATATTTAAAGTTAAGCATACTGTAAAGACACCAAATATATACAATAACTGTATATTGTTAAATACCATTATATAGATCTATAAATTGTTGGGGTATCAATTTTTGTTTCATTCTAAAACAAATATAAAAAAAAATATTATCTTTTATTTTCTTTGTAATAATGAAGGATGGATGGTGTTAGTAGTTGAAAACAGGTATAAACCTTAATTTAGACCGAGAAAAAATGACAAATGGAGCAAAACCAATAGAGCGTTTACTTGCAGATATCCAAGAGATAAAATTAATTCATAGATACTCTTTCTGTTAGTGTATTATTGCCTAAAGATTGCTCAGATTACCTTCTGCCTTTAGAAGTAACAATACACTGGTAGGCTGCGATTACTACACAATGGCCAATGCCTATACAGCCTTAATAAAATACATCACAACTTACAATGGACTCTTAATAGGCTCTTTTAGGCTTGTTTCTCTGGATCAGTTCACCAGAAAAATCCATTCTTCAGAATTAGTAACAAAGTGATCTATAACGAAAGACCTCTAAAAAAATAGGGTTTTTTTTTAACCTATGGGAATATGTATAGGCCTACTACATGTAATTTGTTATTCCACCACAACTTAAAAAAAAGCTAGATAACTTTAAAATGCTTTATTGTATTGTTAAAATTGAAACCACATTTGAGCATTTATTCTATAAAACTTGTTAATTAAGACTTGGTTTACCACTTATTTATCCATAAAGCTGGAGAGAGACTGATATCTTTACCCATATATAAATCTAGATACAGACATAATATACCTTTTCTTTTCAAGTGGTGGCTGTTGCGGACTTTAACAATAACAATTGTCTTCAAGTGAGGTCTGCCAAGTGCTGACTAAATACTCTTGTTATTGGTGACACTACCCTTTTTAAATTTAAAAAGAACACCCAGCGTGCAGTCTATCCATCAAAATCAGTTTGGATATTATCCGAAAGACCCCCTCAACCTTTTATTTTCCTAAGGCGAGACTTTCTTTCTACCTCGTATTGCCAACTTATTTTTTTTTTTATAGAACAGCTTAGCTCAGTCGGCTAATCTGGTGGTAGCCGCTGTGTATGCGCTAAACCATGGAGATCTCTAGGTCCCCGGTTCAATTCCCATCGCTGCCTCTCCTTGTGTTTCAGCTTGAGGGCTGAAATACAAGTTACAATAGTGCACCGTCTTTCGGATGAGACGAATTAAGCCGTTGGTCCCGTGTGCATTATGGCCCATGTGCACGTTAAAGAATGCAGTACACTCTTCGGAAAAGAGTAGGGGATTTTCTCCCGGTGTACTGCCCAATCACCACCAGAAGGACCCCACTGGACATAAGTCTTCGTCTAGACTTTCGTGGGCTATCCTTGGTGTTTACACTGAATAACGGTTTTGCCAAAGACATTCCAGATGAAGAAGAAAATAAAATGTTATTGTTGAATGTAAACAGTTTAGCAATGTGATGGATAATTGCTTTAAATTTATATAGGAAGAAATATTATACATATCTTATTTTTGGAGATTTCAAGGCAGCGGCAGATGTAATAAAAATAAAGAACTTTTATTTTTTTCTGAAATTTCAATTTTTTTTTGTGGTGGTGGGTGAGCTAATTGGCCAAAAATAAAATTTTATTTTTATTCGAAATCATCATGATTGACAGGCAGTGGGTTCGCTATTACAAGCTTTAAAAAGTCTAGTCGAATTGTCCACAAATCCCTTATACCTTTAATATTTTCCTAACATTTAAATTATTAATTTTTGATCCTACTCTAAGTTAAGCACTTCCATTAGTTTGTTTTACTTTTCTGATTATTTTCTGATCAACTTGGATATTTATTTGTTTGTATTTAAATGTATAAACGGTCTTCAAGCATTTATTAACTTTTTATCCTGGGAATCTACTATGTTCAATGTAGCTAAATCTGTGCCAAATAATAATACTTTTATTCATTTATGCTGTATTCTGTTCCTATTTATGCAGTCTTTTGCCAACCAGCTTCAATCCTTTCTGACAGCGTCTCCAAGAATTACAGGCTTATCTATAAATCTAAGGATCAAGCTATCCCATGATCCAATTTTCCATTAGCTGTATGTTAAACACCTGGTGTCGACTTTACAGTATGCTTAACATTAAATATTCCTCAAAAGCCTACTGAACAAGGAAAGGATCAGAAGTAAAATTATGTGTTGACAAGGTCTTTGTGTAGCCTCTTAGATGACAAACATATCATGGTACAGGGAGAGATTTGGAGACTTTACCCCATACATAATTAGGAAACAAGAAGTCTTTATTATGTCACTGTTATAAACTAGAAATACTAATAGTTTTTTTTATTGAATGCTATTCAAATTAATAGACTAATGAAAAAAGGTATTTTTCTTCTTTGTATAATATTAATGGCTTTTTCTTTGTTTTATTAATGACCATCAGCTTTTTCTGATCAAGTCATTATAGTCAGGTAACACCATTTGTAATGGACTCTGGTGGACACAGGCCAAAGTAGCAAAGTCCACAAATTCTAGCATTTTTTGATTAGCAACAAAAAACAAACACTGAATATAGTAAATATAATAATAATTTTAAAAATTATTTAATTATGGCACTTGTTCAATTTAATGGTGTACAGTATTTCAGCAAAGCTAACAGATGTTATAAGTTATGAAACAGAAATCAAAACAAAAGGGTAAAAATCAAGTAACAAACAAATTACTACAATCATCACATAATAAAACAAACAACAAAAACTAAAATTCTTATATATTAATTGTAATAATTTTAATTAAGTTTCAGTTTCATTTTAATAAAAACTATTGACTTACAGATGAATTTACCAATGACTATAAATTCATTAAATAATAAAATAAATAAATAAATTTTGCAATGTTGGTTTTAGTTAAAAGGAAATTCAAATCAAATGACTATAAGTACTATAGATATACAGATAAAATTTCTCCGTGGATAAACACATTAGATACAGTAGGTGTGTCATATTTACACTATCATCAGTGCATACCATATCACTGTTGACTTGTATTCAGGCCTATATATGAATGCTTAGCACATGCATCATTATGAATAAATTAATGTATACTTTCTCCTACTATACAGTAGCCTTTAATTTGCTTTCCTGCTTTGGTTTCCATAGTTGCTTAATCTTTTATTATTTGCCATTGGTAGCCTAAAGCATGCTGTCGCTAAAAATAGACAAATGTATCGAATTTTCTTGCAAGAGGAGAAACCTTGAAATACCATTATCAGTCAGCTTCACCATCTCATCTCTCCTTGTTTACAATTTCGCCGTCTGCATGCTGCCATGTAGATGTAAACAAAGAGTGGAAATGTTATCAAAGATGCAACTAAAACCTACCTGCTAAAGTAAACTGTATAATATGCTTTCTTGAATGTCAGTAGAATATCATAAACATGAGGTTCCGACTGTGTTACCTATTTCCTTACACTCCTCTCTCAATGGGTTCCACACTTCAAATGACACACACTGGCCAGATTGCCAATCTCTATGTTACTCAAACCCGGACTCTGATTGGTTGAACAACTATGATGTCATAATTGTGACTGTACTTTTTTGTGGATCATGACAGTATTATTATTTGCAGAAAAGGGAAGTTTATTAGGGTATGTCATGGTTACATTATACCTCCATGGTTACATATATAGTTACACAAAAAGTACAGATCCAGACAGTATTGTTGAATCTTGAAAGAAAATAATAAAGATAAAAAAATTTAAGGATTACAAAACAATTGAAAACGTTCCCGTGAGAGGTTGGCTAATCATTGCCTTAGGCCATTCATACTTCACAAAAAAGGTCATATCAGGTTTTTTTTTTGTGCCCACGTTTGTTCCAAGTTACCTCTTTTTCTAACACTAAGTATCTTATTCTATTTGGATAGATAAGTTAAGTACCAAATGTTTAGTAAATATTTATTTTGTGTAAAATATGGGTACAGTCTGGAGTAAAATAAATACAATTTAAGAGTAGACTTATAGAAAATGGGGTAAAACTAATGAATAAATGATAATAAACATAATAAATTTACAGTGAAAGTATAAATTAATTGAGTGAATTGATATTTAAATTAAATAAATATACCCTTTTCTGTCTTGTATGCATTTTATTTATTTTTATATTTATTTATTTTGTTGCCCTATATTTATTTTGTTGTCTATAGATTAAGTTAAGGGGAAGACTAATTATTACCCACCATCAGTCATGGTGACTATATGGCTATCTGGCCTCCCCAGATAGCCTATTGTTCACCAAATTTTCATAATTTAAAAGAAATAAAAAATATACATAGCAATTATCAATTATGTCACAATTATATAATATTAATATTAACTGTAAATTATTGCATTACAGTACTAAACAATATAATTAGATTTATAAACATTCACTAATTAGATTTAATCACATTGTAGAAATGATGGCAAAGACATATAGTCAGATTCAAGGTCATTAACAATGTAGGCCTGCAAACCGAAGGTGTCATATTGCATGTACAATTTCATACAACGATTACGCCTTTTCCCTCGGAATATCGGGTGGATGAACTTTGGTCCCTTTGTTACAATGAGCCACCATTTTGCTTCAGCAAACCCTTTTATCCATTTATGGAGCCAAAGTGGAAAAGGATCCTAGAGCTGCTCATTTTAATTTACAGTAATCAAACGAAGCAAATGTCCTGATTAATTGAAGCATTGTTAAGTAAACATTTACTCGCCCAACAATGAACTGATCTTTAGTGCCTCAGGTGAGTTTTACAAGTAATGGACCATATTTGAATTAGGTACTGTAACGAAAACAAGAACCATTGTTTTCGGGTAAAAACTTTGATTTTATGAGTGTTGTCGAAAGTGATTGCATGCAGTTTTGTTTATTTTGATGAACTGTTTTCACAGCATTGCATAAGCCAAAACTTTTAATAATAATTTGTAATGAATACTATATGATCTTCTTTTAATCTATGTACCAACTAAATCACAGCTCTATTGTAATCCACTAGACTAACTTAATTTACACTTTTTTAATAAGAGTGTTACATAGTCACAGCTACTGCACCTAAGGTATAGATATGATTTGTAGGTTTTTCTAATTTAAAAAAAATAATAAAACCACATTTGACATTTTAACTCTGTCTCAATTTGTTCGCATGTTGTTCTTAGTTTTAAGCAATTTTAGACTCGGTGTTCTTATAAAATGGGTACCTTCTATAATATAGCACTGTAATACTGCTGTACAATAATGATTTCCTATGTTTTAAAAGATTGTAAAAATAAGAACAAAATAAGAACAAACATTTGAGCCTGAAATCGGAAAAAACCAAAAAATAACATACTGAGCCTCAACAGAGTTTTACTGGTTTTTGTAAAAAAGTAAGTGTAAATGTCAAAACAATATTAAATCACAGAACTAATATTTGGTTAATAATGGTATTTCTGCGTTTATTTTATATACTGCACATGGTTTGTAGAATCGAAGTTATGATTTGTAAATGAATTATACAATTTTGAAGAAGATGATCTTGTTTTCACAGGCTGCCATTGGCAGGATAAATAATAAATACATTTTTAATAAATTGAACAGATGAATTAATAAAATTTCTATTTTGTATACAGTGATACTGGGTCAGGTTAAAGAACTGGGTTTTCTATTTATCACGACAGGCAAATGTTGGTGTATTTCTGTAAGAGTTGACCACATCCTTATTCATTATATAGTGCAGATGCAATGAAATATCATTATAATTTAATCACGTTTCTTTTACAAGGAAGGAATAATTTACTCCTTTTATTGCTTTCGTAGAACAAAATCATTGTGAAATTCTGGAAATTATAAAGAATACAATGCAAGGTTTTGGGAACTTGATTCACAAACTTTTGGTCAAAGTCTGTCTTCATAATAAACTCTTTAACCATCGAAATGTTTCTACAGAAACATGATTACAAATAAGTGATTGTATTCATACAAAATAAACACTATTATCATAAAATGAAATCATGATTGATGATTGATGCTTCATTCATAATCATTAGACTGTGATTCTGCTAAATTTAATTCTTTTATTCTCAAAAATTAGTTATAATAGTGGACTGATAGCTGATAAGTGACTTCTACTGGCTTCCTGTCAAAAAATGTAATAAAAAGAAAATCAATCACACAAAGCAATACCACATAATGAGGTACTGGTTATAAATACAACAACTGAAAAAAAAAAAAAACGAAGAAGAGTCAATAGGCATAGATTAATATGAAGAAGAGGAGAAACTTACCTTTTCCTTGTTTTTAATCTTTAACAAACTATGAGAGAAAAGCTGTTTTAATCCCTGAATTAGTAAGTCACACTCCATTTTCGGTGATGAAGCATGGTTCAGGCTGAGGTAGTTATGGCACTTTTAGATGGTCAAAAATGGTAGTCAAACTCAAATACAAATTTCCTTTCTCCATTTTTTATATTTGCCAAAAAATTGGGGGATGACAGGCCAGCTGCCCCTTCCTCTTGAATCTGCCTCTGTGTACTCATTAAAAAAAATGGTAGAGTTACATAAAATAAACCATAATTGTCTTAAAGAAATTAATATAAATTATTTTCATATCATTAAAATTAATTATGTTATTAGGTCATTTCATGTCTGTGAGCAAAATGGTGAAAGATGTAGGCTTATATAAACATAAATGATAATAATAAACATACTGTTGTGGTGTCTGCAATGCTGCCTTTACAATATAATGATGCAGAAACTTAATATTTTACAATACAGATGTTACAAAATAATGGACTCAAACCCTAAGTCACAAGCCAAGTATGTTCAAACATTATAAATGCTATATAGGTACTGGTACAAGAGATTTAAAGAGAGCTACTAGATTATAGCAGTAATTTATTAACCACATAAAATAGATGGTATACACATTTTAACACAAATAAGGCTGGTTTGAGGTGTTGTGAATGTGTTAGTGAAGTGTTTGATATGTAAATAATTGAATCAATAAGTAATTGTAAGACCAGTTGTTACAGTTTGTAAATCAGGATCTCAATCTTAATGTTGGAGTTTTTATTTTAGCAGTCCATTTCAGTTGTGTTTTTTGTCTGTCTTACAGAAAGTTAATGAAAGAAACCTTCGGAATTTTGTTTTAAAATGGAAAATCAATGGATGAGCTAAATTGGTAAATTAAGTAAAAATGAATATTAAAATAAAATACTTCCAATTTAAAGTGAACAATAAATATGCAATTCATTTTTTTATACAAAATATTGTTTAAATAATCTTTTTATTATTTATCATAATATTATATAGCATTATTAATTATTATTAAATAATATTCAAGCCTATTCAATACTGTTGACAGTTTCTTAAATTATAAGTTTGAGATATGTAGTATAAACATATAATTTGAGATGGATAGAAGCTAATGGATTGAGATGACCTGTTGGCCTCATTTGTATTTGGTCAGTCTGTATGTGGTCAATGACCTTTAGATTGGATGAAGTGGAATAAAGTCAACATAAATAAATATGTTTGTTAACAATCAGTCATAGATTGAAGTTGATAATTTGATCCATGTAAAAAAAATATTAAACAAAATACCATTTGATTTGTTTTATAATATATAAAAACAACTCATATCATTTTACAACTTTCATTTTATTATCTAGCAATTATTATCAAGTTATTTATTTTAATTACTACTACAAATCATTTTAGGATCTTAACACTTTTAAAATATATCATGTTTTATCCAACAATTGTTAGTTTATATATGATAGTTACTTTGGTAAGGAGGGTACTTCCACTCGTGATAGATTCATAGACATATATAATAATTCAAGTCATATAGAATACTTATAAACACAGTTTAATATTAATTAATCAGTTTTACCATAGGTATAACTCAGTGATTTTAGTACTACTATCATAATTATTATTTGCTTTCTTACTATCATTAATAATTAATTAGATGCATTGTTAGTTTTTAATTCATCATCGCTATAGTAACAACACTCTTTCCGAAGGAAGAGAAGACAAGCTATAACAACATTTTGGGGAGAGGTTTTCATAAGTATCACTTATGAAACATTGGAACTTAATTACCAATCAAAACTAAAATTAAGTGCATATAAAATATAATTAATTTAATGAATATCAACAACTTTGACCTTTCAATTCTTGAGAAAAGTACTTTTGAAGGTTGTTACTATAAAATTTAAGGATTGCTTCTTAAACAATTGGGAGACAGTCAAGGCTGTGAGCTATAAAAAGTATGATATGCTGGGTATATAAGTATTACTGTGAAATCTCTGTCTTTGTTCCCAGACAAATTATGCATATTGGACACATGATCTTGAATCTTGAAGGAGACAGGGTCTGCAAAAAGCAAAATGTTACCATGGAAAATAACATTGTTTTAGAAAATATTCCATTGCCACAACCCAGAGGGAATACTTACCAAGCTGTTAACCTTTTAACTTGACATTCTGTCCAGCAGCCAACACCGAAGGAGGTCCATATATATCACAGATTTGCACTGTGTTTTAATAAAATGTATAAATAATAATTATATACAGAATAATAAAATAATTAATGTCAAGCAATTCATAGCAGGAAATGATATTGTCTGCTTGCTGGATTTATAAAAAAAAAATAATTCATATAAACTCAAAATAAAGGTTGATTCATCTCATTTGCAAACATCAAAATATGTGGGAGTAAAAATTGGCAGGTTTTGCCCATAGCAACTGTAGTTACATACAGGACCTTTATGGGGAAATATGCAATGTCAACATTAAATATTTATCTACAATTTGATGGACTTTGATAATTTGACATTGGTTCTATAATAAGTCTACAGTAATAAATGAACGTATAAATTCATTTCCATAAATTCTTAAATACCGTAACAGGTGAGGTCCACCAGTAAGTTTAACATAAGAATTTATTTTATTTTATTCTCAAAAGAACAATGATTCACACTTTATTTGTTCTACAAGAAAAAAATTAACATTTTTATGCTACAAGTGATGATCTATTATGTGGTTTTATTGCAGTTTGCAGTGGCGTATCCAGTAAACCTGTCAGGGCTAGGCACTGCCCCCACCCACCCCCAAAAAAAAAAGAAAAGGAAGAAAAAGGAAGCAAAGTATTTAAATTTCATGTATCAGCATCTATTGCCAAGAATTTCTGAACTTAAATGTCAAACATCAACCTCCACTTGCTCCCCACCTCACCCCCAGGTTTAGCTTTGCATGTCACATGCCCCCTACCCAGATTTTTCTATGGATCTGCTCCTAGTTTCGGTGCATGGTTCAGCATTCATGTTGGAGAGCAGCTTAGCTCAGTCTGCTAATCTGCTAATCTGGTGGTAGCTACTGTGTGTGCGCTGAACCGTGGAGATCTCTAGGTCCCCGGTTCAATTCCCATCGCCGCCTCTCCTTGTGTTTCAGCTAGAGGGCTGAAATACAAGTTACAATAGCGCACCATCTTTCGGATGAGACGTTTAAGCCGTTGGCCCATGTGCACATTAAAGAACGCAGTACACTCTTCGGAAAAGAGTAGGGGATTGTCTCCCGGTGTACTACCCAATCACCACCAGAAGGACCCCACTGGAAATAAGTCTTCTTCTAGACTTTCGTGGGCTATCCTTGGTGTTGACAGCGAATAAATCCAATCCAATCCAATGTTCTATGGATGTCTTCATTATGCAGCAGCAATTTAATGCTCAGAGTACATGGGAAAAAGTATGTACTGTATTTGAATGGCCTTCCATGGATGGGGAAATCATTAGAAAGTTGAATGAGTTTGCAGGTGTTTAGAAGCATACATCATAAATAAAATATTTTAATCATGAAAAAAAGATCTGGGATCAGATAGAAAAACATTCGAATTCCCAGGCATACCATAATGATGACACAATTTTTTTGTCTATTAAGATTACACTTTATTGTCTTGATGGTGTGAAAATGAAAGAGCTTAGTATAACCACTGGAAAAAACAAATATACTAAAATAAGTGTAAAAATGATTAAAAATAAAGTAGATTTTAACATTAAATGTAAGATAGAAAGATGAAGCTCACTATCGAGGTGTTGATTACCATACTGTGTGCTTCGCAATGTTCTATATCTATAAGTTTTCATCCACGAGTACAGTAAACTGTATGAACAACAATAAGGCATGATACGATCATCAAATTCTAGTACCCTGCGTACCATAGTTTCTTGGGTATAAACCCACCCCTTTGAATACAAATTTTGGCTGTTTTTTGTTTTTGGGGTGGGGGAGGGCTTTACCTGGAAAATCCTCTGTTCACGAAAAACTTATATTTTTTATATTTATAGAAATGGCAAATTAAAAGAGCAAATTTTAAACACTGTTGTTTGATACTTTTCTGAAGTATTGTAAAAGTAACCTAAGTTACCCATTCCTATCATAACTTGGTCATTTGCCAGGGGAAATGCTCACATGTGACATCAGACTTAAATAGGTGATGGGCTAATACATGTGGTAATCTTATAACCAAGGTGCTTCTATAGAGTAGACTGATAATACTTTATTTAGCTGGAAATAAAATGATGAAATACTGCCCATGCACCGAAGTATGTGTTTCCCCAACAAACATTTATTCCTATTACTGTGGTAATCTATTTACTTATAAGTATAAAGGGCATTACATTAATCACTTTGCAAATATGCCACATTAAGAAGTATTTGCATTAATCTTTGTGCACCTATAACATACTGTATTATTCATTCTCATCATTTCAACAACCATTATATGATGATAATTATTCATCAACCTCATTATTTATTCATGTATCAATTTAATTGGTAAACCATAGTAATGCATCACTCTAAAGTCAAAACAATTTTCATTCATCAGGTCAAAAAATAAGCTAAATACACTCTTGGGTATAAACCAAGATATTCTGTTGTTAGTTAATGAAACATTAATAGAATCTAAAACAGGAATTCTTGGCATTAAAGAGAATTCGCAATTAAAGAGGGAAATGGTTTTATGATAACATAAATACTATACTATATAAGAAAAATAAATATAATGATTAAAATAATACATGGTTATAAATTCTTCAAATTACTATATTTTTTGAATATTTTCACCAAATAAAAAATAAAATGAGGCTTTTCAAACAATGATAAGTTATAAGATTGGTTTATTTGATATTGGAATTAAATAATTTAATTAATCCAAATTGATGAACACTATTTTGTTTTAATATGGTCATGTAAATCTAAAAAACTTCTAAAAAAAAAAAAACCTGTAAAAAAATTTCAAAATCAACATTTTTCAATTACCATAATTATTAAATTTTAATTGCAAATTTGAACAAAAATACATTTTGGTTGCAAACTAGCAGATGTTGAAATAATGCCATAGCTTTCAAAAATTCTTGCTTGTGACCCAAAGATTTCTGCCAGAAAATTTTTACTGTTTTTGTTATAAATTGTCTGTAAAGCCAACATTTTTTGTTAAACTTTGGTACTCAAACCTTTCCTTAATCTAAATTTAAGAGAAAATAGCTTCTTAATCCATGGAGTAATACTTTAATCTACATAAACTGATTATTGTTTATCAATTTTCGAAATTATTGTACTAGGATTTTGGGAGTAGATTTCATAGCTGATTAAGAGAGGTAACCATGCATAATTAATTAGCAAACCAATTATGAATTGTAACAATTAATTAGTTTCTGGTTGACAACTGTAGGTAACAGATTTTGTGATTGCCTGGACGTACAGGTGCTTTGAACAGCAAATCTGCTTCAACAGCAAATGCGCAGGCATACCTGGATACTAAAGTATGAAAATGAAGAAAATAGTTACAATATCAGGAAGCTCAATTACAAACAATTGTGACCAACTCACAACCAGGGGCAGATCCAGAGATGTCCAAAAGTGGGGGTCGAAAGTTGGGCCAATCGAGACAACACGTCCTAGACGCCTAAAAATAACATTTGAGGCTTTCTGGTTATCATTTTTTTCTTTTTCTTTTTAAAAAATTATTTATACCTTCGGAAAGGCGGGTCGAAGCCGGGCCGGTCCCCCCTAAATCGCCCCTGGAAACAGCATGATCAGTGACAGATTCAGTTGGG